ATCTGACCGTCTGGGGCAAACCCCAGCACACCAGACGCTGCTTGTGTGATCAGAGGCAAACGACTTAATCTCCCTTATCGGTGAAAGGGGGGATGGGCAGTGTTGGGATGAGCGGCGAGGTAACGCCCAGAGCCCAGGTCCAGTCAGAGGGCAGCGTCTGGCAGGTCCCATTCCATCAGCAAGTCCTCGATTACCCTGCAGAGGTCACCAGGCCGCACCGGCCCTCACTTCCCCGCAGCTGCCTTTCCTGGGACCTGTCGACATCACGTGGCAGGACCTGAGCCTGCCACCCCAGCCCCCCGGCCTTTCACAGGTGCAGGGGGAGGCGGCCGGCTGTTTTGTACCCCTCACTTTTCAGCTTCCACGCAGGATCTTTCCGAAAGCTCCCTCCTTGGAGATTCCCTTGGCAGAGACTTCGTCTGCACCATCAGCTTAAAGGCCTTTACTAAATGCTAAGCTCCTGGCTGAGTTCTCTGCGAGAGGGGCTGTTCGTTTTTCTCGGTTGCACCGTGTTCTTAAGGCATCTCTGGTCCAAGAGATGTCAACCTGCCCCATCTAGGTCTTCTGCCCTCAGGGACATTTACGGTCACTGAGAGGCAGAGAGCAGAGCTCAGAAGATGAGGGAATGGGGTGAGGTCAGGTTCTGACGGGAGTGGGGTCTGTAGAATAGGGGACCCCTGGGCCAGCACCGCGGGAGGTGGGGGCTATACGAGGCTGTGGGTGCTTGGGCCACACGTGGGCAGAGGAGAGGCCAGCAGTGCCCCCAAATGCCTCACTGTCATTGATTCAATAGTGCAAACTGCAGACAAATGAGATGTCAGCTTCTTACTCTGTGAAAAGAGCCACCAACAGTTTCCTTTAAAAGGTGCCTTAAAATACGTCCCCTTCTAGGTGACTCGATGTTTTGTCTAGATGGCCACACTCTCCTCCTTGTACCCACCTCCTGTCCCACTGCTTCCTCCCCCAGACTTTGTGTGGCATTTGACCGCGTTTCGTAGAGACCATCACGGCACCCCCTCCATGGGTTCTTGGAGGCATGCTGGGTCCTGATGTGGTCTGCTCAGAATTTTTCTGGTGCGTGCTGGTCATTTACGAATGGTTTCCTATCCGTTTCCCCCTTCGCTGGCTGCAGGGCTGCTGGGGGAATCCTAAAGAGCATGAATAGCCCAGCTACTGTGCGTGGATTTGATCACTATGCTCAAGCAATGCCTCCGTTTATGCGGTGGAGGTTTAGAAGCTGTGGCTTTCCACCGGGGAACGAGCAGGGGCCGGGCGGATGTGGGTGGGCAGTACAGAGACGGGCTTGCAGGGGCGTCGTTTTCCCAAGCACCGTTCTTAGTTATTTGGCCTCCAGAGGAGCGCAGCAGGGCTAAGCAAGGGACGTGTTGAAGGATGCGTCCCCCGCCCAGTAGCGTAGACAGATCGCAGAGGAATGACCTCTGCGGTGGAGACTGTCTCAGAGCGGTGGGGTTGTGACATGGGCTTGTGCCAGCAGCTGATCTGCCGAGCCGCGTGGGGGCTGCGGGAGCGAGCAGGACTGTCCACGCGTCTCACCCGCGGGCCTGCTCTCTGCAGAAATCGCTGCTCTGCCTTCCCCGGAGCACTGGAGGCGAGAGGCTCAGGGACAACTCAGAGCACACACCGTCCGCCCGCGGCCGAGCCGACGAGCCGAACCGCGCG